GTTTAATTTTTTTTTTTTTTTTTTTTTTTTTTTGCAGTATTTGCAAAATCAAGGCCAAATTCTATATAGCCCACATATACCTTAGCCCGGGATGGTAGGATTGCCAGCGGAGGGATACAGTCACCTATACATCATGTCTCTGACTGTTGACACATTCCTATTAAAGAAAAAAATTATAATACGGCCCCCGTCTGCCTGCCCTGCTTGTAACGGTTAGTGGCCCTGCAATGTTTTTGCTTTTTCTGTTGATGGAATTTTGTACTTACAATTTACTTACTGTGGGTCTATACACCTAGAACTGCCTAGGCTGTAAGTGTGCTGAAGCAGAGCAGGCAAATTATTTCATCCTCCAAAGTCCTTCCTACAAGCCTTTTGTAGCTATGAGATATAATTTTTGTTAGCATTACAGTAAACTTAGCCAGTTAATTGGAGTAGAAGAAGAGCAGCACAAAACAGTATGCCTAAGGAGGCAGGAAGTCTTTCACTGGATGCAATACAGCTTGGCGGGTTTTTTTTTTCCAGAAAATTATAAATATCTATCCATTTCTTGTTTCAGGTACTGAAATTGTTTAATTGGTTAATGGCCAATTATGATTTGTCCCTATTTTCTCTGCAGGTGTTTATGTGGAGGAGTCCTGTCACTTGGCCCCTGGTGATGTAATTGTGATTGAAAGAAATGGTCTCTTGCCTTGTGATGCATTGCTTATCAATGGAGGCTGTATAGTGAACGAGAGCATGCTTACAGGTATAACTTCCATTCTTTCAAGGTGATTATAGTTGCCAGTCCTTGCAAAATAAAATATATTTTTCTTCTCTTCATATTGTGAATATAATGTGAGACACAGTTAGGGAAGAAGGCAGTGCTTCATAACTAGACTTTACAGGGTTTATACACCTAACAGATGAAGCTATCCTCCCCATGTATACGTAGCACATTTTGCAAAATATAATGGCAAAATAAGCTTTTTTGTCAATGGGCTAAAATGCTGTCAAGAAAATCTGTAATTAATTTTTTTTATAGAAATATAAAAAACAGTGAATGTATTTATATTCATAAACAAAAAGCCACTATGTATATTTACATTCATCTATTTGTTCCTATTCACACAGCATATCTAGAATTGTTTGTGTGTGTGTATATATCTAGATATATCTATAGATATATCTAGAGATATCTGGACTGTGTGCAAGTAAAATGCAGTTTTATTAAGAGCAAACACCAAACATCTCGTTCCATCTACAGGGTAGACCTCCCCTGTTGCACAAGACAGTTTCTAGCAGCAACATAAAGGACAGCTTTTAGTTTTGCTCTGTAGCTTTCCACAGCTCCAAGAAACTCACACTGCTCACCCCTCGCGAGCCCTCACTCTGCTCTCTCAGCAGTGTGTCCCACAGGTCCTAGGGTCACCAACTTTCCCGACCTCTCCCAGCCTTCCCTGGCTGTTCCACGTGTCCAGCACACACCTGAGTCTGCTGTGGCTCTGTGCCCCCTGCACCCACACAACTCTCACACAACTCTGAACACTGGGCTGGCTTCCTAATGAGGCTGCTCTCAGCCACTTGATTGGCCCAAGCTGGTCATTGGTGACACCTGGCCCCAGGACTGGAGATCTCATCCCACCCAGAGCTCTAAAGGTGCCCATACACTGCGCGATTATCGTACGAGAATCGCGGGAAATCCCGCGATCGTACGATAATCGCAAAGTGTATGGAAGGCGTGCAACCGTTTCTACTGTACGGTGGCACGTCTTCCGTCGAACAAGCAGGCTGGAGAACCCGCCGAGAATCGTACGATGCTCGGCGAGTTAGCGCACACTGCCCGTTTACAGTCATCAGAAGTACGATCTGCCTGTCCAAGATGGGCAGATCGTAAGTTTTTTTTTAATCACTTGGCAACCCTCGCACGACAAAAGTGCTCTCCTCCCACTGGGCTCCATACATGGTTCTGGCCTTACTCTGCTCCATGTCCACTACTTAGGCACTCACCCACTGTAGACCGCCACTGGCTGTCCACGCTTCTGGGCTATGAGCTGTGGGAGGGGCCGGACAGTGTAAAAGTCAGTGTTCTATAATTTTTCTCGATCCTATACATTTTCTCGGCTGTGTCCCCTCCAGTGGGGTCGAGTCATCCGAATCAGCTTTTTTCATGACCCCCCCCCTTTCTTCATGACATGCACACCTGGAAGTGACGCGGTAGAGAAATTAATGGGTTGAGGAAAATTTATAGCACACTGGTAGTGCAGGGATGCCTCGTCAGTGCTGTGTACATTGTAGAGCGTGGATGCAAGCGGGTGGGTCTAGCAGTGGCAAGCGTGAGGCGGGGAGGAGGTGCGGCGTGTGTGGAGCCGTGAACAGGGCCTACTATTCGAAAGCCAATAATCGATTATTGAAAGCTTAGAGAGATTTTTCAATCATCGATTATAATCGACTTGGTCGATTTAGTTGTTGCAGCTCTACATTCATCCCCGAATTTCTGGGGACAGTCCCCGGATTCAGGAGAGCATCCCCATACAAATTATGTCCCCGGGAACATAAAATATAAAACATTTTTTTTAATTTTTTAAATACTCACCTGATCCTTAACCTTTTGTTAGGACAGACGGTGTTCAAATCTAGTTTACATGATGATGTATCTAGTTTACTGATAATGAGATCTTCCAGCACAGTACAGACAGGGTTAAATAGGGATAAACTTTACTCTCCCCACCCTTCTTGCATTCCAGGGGAAAATTTTCTCTGTACTTAAGCTTTTCTTGAACATGTTTTATGCATGCAGTGATTACATTATTTTTTTTTTAGTTATGCTATGTGAATTGAAACATGTATCAAATATAAAATAGTTGTAATATTTGGCTGCAGAAGTGGAAATACACTCTAATCTACTGTTTAGATACGCTAAAAACCATATAAGGAGTGTATAGTTTTCAGTGTATCCCCTGACATTTATAATTACAATCTATTCACATTAGCGTACATCAAATTATTGATCATTTATACCGGGCTTATACCTTCAAAATGTCTTAAAAAAATTGAAAAAGCTGTACGTTCCCGTGTGTGTGTGTGTGTGTGTGTGTGTGTGTGTGTGTGTGTGTGTGTGTGTGTGAATTGAATGTAATCAATCATATTAACGTGTTTATTGTTTAAAAAAAATTTGTTTTTTGTATGTTTTTGATTTTCAAAAATGCATATATAAATAGCAGGAGCCATATTTATAGTATAAAGTTGTGGTTTAATATATCGTATTGCAAGCCCGCCAGCTACTCAGACTAAAAAAATCACTATTTGGACTATTTTTTTTTTTTTTTTTAATCAAAACTAATAGTCAAACAAGTAAGGACATATTTTGTCATTATGATGGATCTGTAGCAAGTGTGAAATAATAATCATTTATTTTTATTTTTGTTGTTGGATCTTTCACGCCTTGCAAAGAAACAATCCAATGAAGATTTGCTAAAACGATCATAATTTGGATGATAATTTTGATCATAATATGGCTAATATCAAAAGAGAACAAGAAATAGATGTGTGGCACATCATGTTGACTGAATCTAAAAATAATTAACCAAAAAGTTTGAGTATGTCAGCGTGATTGTAAATGTATGTTCTCGATGAAATTTAACTTAAAGGACATCTGTGAGGTGAGTGATTTCCACTCATCCTCATAGTTAGTCGGCCTGTGACAAAGAAGCTGTCACAGGCAGCTCTATCGATCGGGAAGTGAGCAGAAACATGCAGCGATCTGCTCACTTTTCGATAGTCTCCCTGCAGCTGCCCACAGGGATTCCCCCCTCCCCTCTCCGATCCTCCCAGCGCTGAGTAGAGGAACGGATGGGGGAGGGGGCGGGAACAGCTGGCTCTGCATCTAGATAGGCAGAGCCAGCTGTCACTCACGAAGCTGGGTGGACAGTAATGTCGGGATCTGTCCCAGCTGCGGCGCTCACAGTATATCGCGAGCAATAGCCCACTGTATATTGAGCTTTGGGTCACGGGAGGAAGCTAATATATGTCCTCCCATGACCCTAAAGAGAACTATGGGGAAAACACTTACACCATAGTTCTCTTTTAACTTAAAAAAATAAAGAAGAGTATACATAAGCTTTTGGGCCATATCTAATTGCTTCAACATACACATTTAACATAGAAAAACACGCTTGAAGTTTTTGCTCTTCATGACATCTCTGTATTTCAGTGTGTAATAAAGTTCATGCATTCTGTTTCTGAAGCTTTAGCTAGACAAAAGCAGCTAATCTTGCATGTAATTGTGGAAGATATTGAATCCTAGCATGGGTTTAGCGTATACAATTAGTTGCAGTTCTGTAACAAAGCACACAGCCTTTTAAATTCCTTGGAATACTGGTATTCAAATGAGTAACTATATCTCTCTCTTATGGTTGCAGGTGAAAGTATCCCAGTTACCAAGACTCCTTTGCCGAAAACAGATAACACAGAACCGTGGAAGGTTCACAGTGTGCATGACTACAAGAGGCATGTCCTCTTCTGTGGAACACAGGTCATCCAAACCAAAGCTGCATCCCATGTGAAAGCTGTTGTCCTTAGAACAGGTACTGTAATTTTCAACTAACTTCAGGTTATGAAGATTCTAATAATGGTGTGCTCAAAGTAATATAAAAGGCCCTCCCAGGCAGCAAATGCATTAGTAAACTTCTGATACTTTCCAACTGTGTTAAAATAGTTAGTCCTCTCATATTTACTTTAAAGATGAACTTTAGGCAGAGCAGGAAAAGTTTTCATTACACAGCACTTTCTAGCATGCGGTATGTTGTTCCACTGTCAATTTCTCTCCTTCTTGAAAATTCTACATTTTGTTGTTCTGTAGGCCAATTGCCCACTTCTGCACATCCTGTCCTTCATTTGGCAGCTTAATCTTTTCTCTCATACTGCCGCCTTTTGTTAAAGCCCTGCCTCTCCCTTTACTACATACAAATTGGAGGTCTCACACCGAACATCATTTTCGCTCTGAAAACCCTTTTAGTTTTGTGTCCACTCACATGAGCTCCTACTCTGACAGGTTTCACTTATTCTATAAGAGCTTGAAGTGAAATTAAGAGCAAAACATTTTTTTCCCCCGCCCCACAGTGCTAATGTAAGGACTTACCTTAAATGATGCCTCTTAATCTGATCATCTTCTTTCCTGTAGTTTTTAGCTGTCCCTCCAGCTCTGGTGCGGTTCTCCGATCCAGCGTTGACTCCTCTGTCCTCCTCTTCTCTGATGTCCCATAGAGTCTATGCGGGTGCATGCTGCTCCATAGACTTACCTTGTGCCTCTCCTCGTCTCCCAGCCGAACATCTGAACTGCGCATGCGGCCGACCAAGAAATGTTCAGATGTTCGGATGGGAGCGTGTGGCAGAGACACAGGTAAGTATTAACCCTTTTGAAAAAGTAAAAAAAAAAAAAATTGTGCATATATCTACTGCTTGCTAGCAGTAGATATATGCAGAAACAAATGAAGGTTTAATACCTTTAACCGTAGAGTTGTAGAGCTCTTTTTCTGGGTGAGACATACCAGTGCGAGGTGCCCAGGCAGGTTGGGAATGGGCGCTCAATAGTGCTACAGCAGTATTGATGTTTAGTGTGCAGTATCTGGGGGGGAAGGGGGATATCCTCAGTTGGGGCACTGGCAATAAACATTTTGGCACATTTTGTAACCCTTCAGTCCAAAACTTAAAAAAAAGATAAACACTTTATATTTAATGCATCATTCTACCCCAGTGTAAAGTTACAGTTATAGATAGAGCCTGGTGGGAGGAGTCACCTCTTCCATTTATATTTTTTAAAGTGGATTTCTACATTCGCATCAAAATTGGGATAACACCTGTTTATATATTTGTTACATGTTCCTATTCATATAGCATAATCCCCCAAAAAATATTAAAACATGCTTCTTGCAGTTTAAATTGCTTTTACTTGGGTTAAGGTTTCTATTTGACCTCTTAAGGGTTAACAGTTCTACTTCCTCTTTGGAATGTTAGGGGTTGTGAGGGGTTTAACCCTGTCTGTGCTGTGCTGGTTCATTTCATTATAATTTGTAATGTAGATTTGAACGCTGCTTGGCCCAACAAAGTGTTAAATGATTAAACGCCTTGCTTCTGTATTGTATGCTAATAAAGTTAATGAGCGAAACAGCAAAACATCTAACAGGTAAGAAATGCTGCAACAAAACATCTAAAAGGTAGGAAATAAAAAAAAAATTATAATCTTGCATTTATGCTGTGAATGGCAACACATAACAAACATAGAGGGGGTTTCTCATATCTGACTGCAAAAGTGAAAAGCACTTTAAGAAAGAATTCAAAGCAATGCTATATGCTTTCAAAAACTGTCTAGCTCAGTGTAATAAATTGCAAATATTGCTCTCCCGTTGCCTTCACAGTTGTTTGCTACCATATGTTTTGATCTTCATTCTAGGCTTTAATACAGCTAAAGGCGACCTGGTACGTTCCATCCTCTACCCAAAGCCAGTGAACTACAAGCTCTACAGGGATGCTTTGGTATTCCTTTGCAGCCTGATTGGTCTGTCTCTGATTGGCATGATCTATGCAATTTGTGTGTTTTCTTTGGATGGGGTAAGGCACCAATATTAAAGCTTATATGTCCATTGTTCAATCCGTTAGTTTAATCATATTCTACTGCACGATTGGTTCCATATGCTTTCATATTAGATCTGGTCTCAGTGGAACTTCCAGTCTCTTGTTCCTATGATCAACTCACAAGCTCACTCATTCACTTTAGAGCATATAGCAAAAAGCTGTATTTTGTTTGGTTATTTAAAATATTAGTGGCCTCAGTAAATCCATAAAACATTGTAAGAGCGAAGTTTATTTCATGCATATAGATTGTTTACCAATATGTCTATTTTATTGTTTGAAATAACCCACAAGATTTCACTGTTATTGGATGCATGGCATGTACTTCTAATGTAATAGAGGACCTTTTTTGTTGGTTCAGCAGCTGTGAACAGTGTCTACTGGTACAGTGAATGTTTACAAATATCTATTCATTATTTTACAATTGTATTTATTAGATTACAATTATAGCCAATAGATCACAATTAGATTACAATTATATAAATCTTTAAAAGACACACTGCCATGTAGTAAAACTCTTTCAGAAAAGTACATACCTATGAAAAGACTGAATAGTTGCCTCTCTTGGCACCAGTGCTGCTCTATTGCAAAGAGCTGGTCACCTGAAGGCCACTTTCAGGACGGTGGATCTTCTGGGCACCCCTCTGCTGTCACTGGTTCCTCCCTTTTGACCTCACATTACTATAGGATTCATTAGTGATGTAATGTAAAATCGAGTAACCAAGGAGATCCAAATACATCTCCTAGTGTGGGATGAGGTCAAAGGGAGGAACCAGTGAGATCTGCAGGGGACCCAGCAGATCCATTATCTATCCTCACATAGGATACAGTAGTGACCTGAAGCAAGGCCGCTATTAAGGGGGGTGTAGCCATCCATACAGGGCCCCATTAGGTCAGCAAGGGGGCCCGGGCTTGGCTTTGAAGCAGTCAGTGGGGCTCAGGCTCCTCCCCTGCAGCTGTCCTGGTATCTAAGGTGTGCTGTTCCACCTAACTCACTGCCTGAGCCTCTAGTGACAACCTAACTCACTGGTGCATCTCAAGCACCAGTGAGATAGGCTGTCACTGGAGGCTTAGACAGCAAGTTAGGTGGACTCGTACACAGCAACATTCCCCTTAGGGCACATACACACCAGCAGCCGTGCTGATGCATTTAATTGTATCACACTGTTCACTTTTTTGCCAAAGCTCATTGATATGCCACAAGTAACATTTCATGATGTTCTATGGGCACATAGCGGTGTGATGCGGTTGTACCGTGTCCCACTGTGTTGCACTTTAAAAAAGTACTGAATGCTGTAGTGTGGTGTGTGTGTGTGTGTGTGTGTGTGTGTGTGTCCTCGAATTGTGCCTATCCGTAACTCATCAAATTGTCTTGTCTTGCACTGGAAAAAATGGCCAGTGTAGCCCGAACACATCGGGTGTGAATGGGCCTTGAGTGAGCCAGCGAAGGAGAATGAGGCGGAGATGTGGGTGGAGTTATCAGTGATGGCAGGGAGGAGCGGTAGGCGGTCTTATTAGGTTAACGTTTAGGAGAGCTGCATAGATGGGTGCTCCGATCTTGGGGTGCACAGATTGCGGACAATGTGAGGACTCTGAGGGCATGCACTACTTTTTTCCACCGCAACTCGCAGTATTGCAGTACCAGACATTGTGATGTGATCAAACACATTGTGGCCGGAAGGTGCATTTGGAATGCCATTCATTCACTATGCACTTTAAAATGGACATGTGTTTCAGCACACTGTGTGGTGCTATGCCAAAGAATGGTGTGTGTGCACTATGTCTTTGCAGCGATTTGTGAATTTGTTATTCACAAATTCACCCATTTGTGAATAACCCTGTTAGACATTTTCTTTACCAGTATCTGCTTTGCTGAAAGGGTTTTCTTATATTACAGGGTCTCTTTAACTTGTGCTGGAAAAATGTCCTTGTATAAGTTTATATTTCAGTAATAAGGAGATAAATGGCAGCTTTTCATGCTTTGTCACTGTTACAAACTCCTGTTCTTTCTTTTCTTTTCTTTTTTGCATGCTGGTAGATAGGCAGCTTGAGCACCTTTTGTTAATAGCCAAGAGTTAAGCAGTGATATCACCATGTTATCTCCCTTATGACACAACCAATTGGTATTGCTGGTCTCTGAGTGACTTTTACAGCTTTAGAAAGGTTTATACAGATGTATAGTGGCGGAGTGCATAGGGCTGCAGATAATTATAATAACAAAAAAAGAAAGCGCCACAACCTAGCGCAATAAACAATGTGGAACCAGGGAAAAATTTAAGAAACTAAGTTGCACTCACATTAATACAAAGTCGCTGACAGCAGGGAAACAATGTATCCAAAGCCAGCAACAACACTGTGTGCTTCATTTGGAGCTGTATCAGACCCGTTCTGAAGAGACGCTGTTCTGGTCATTGGAGACGGAAGAACAAAGGGATAGAAACAAACAGCTTCTGATCGTGTAGGTCAATTTAAAGCATTTTCTAAAATAAATGAATAAAATGCACTCACATTAGGAGTATATACAGTAGAAGCTTTTGTCAGTCCATTATTAAAGGCAGGCTGTGTAAGTCTCTAGGAGTGAAGTAGCCCCAGCAGTGCTTCTGATGGTGAGAGAGCCGGTAAACTGCGCCGTGCTGTCACTGTAAAGTGGCAGCTGCAGCTGTTGAAAAGCTGGGCAGGAGCAGATTCTCTAGCTGGAAAAAAATTGACACAGGAGCCGGAGGGGAAGTACAAATGGCAGGCAACGTGTTTCAAGGCAGAGCGCCTCTTTCTCAAGACGGGGAAGGATCAGATAATTAAAATTGACTTTTGGTGCATATGACATTTTGATTTATGCCTTTTTATTTTTATTTGAAGAGTATAATCAATACAAAGTGTTAACTTTGACACTTTTTGTGGAATCAAGTTTGAGGTATAAACAGACATTTATTTCCCTTTTTAAGATTTTGGTCTACAGTAGTCATCACAAAAAGCTATAAATAAAAAAAGTTAATATAATGTATGGGAAGAATTCATTAATATTTGCATGGAAAAAAGATTAGCACACAATAAAACAATTTGTTTGTAAAGTATTACTCATTTGTGTCTCATTGTAAATTCTTTAAATGTCTTTTACAGGCTGATGCTGGGGAGGTTGTGAAAAAAGCTTTAGATGTCATCACCATTGCAGTTCCCCCAGCTCTCCCAGCTGCCCTCACTGCAGGAATCATTTATGCCCAGAAAAGACTTGAGAATTCTGGAATTTTTTGCATCAGTCCCCAAAGGATAAATCTATGTGGCACAATTAACCTTTTCTGCTTTGACAAGGTACTGGTGAAATTGTATTTGCAAGCATGCATGAATAGCAGCTTGTGTTTACCATGAGCACATACAAAGGGTTGTCCTTTCCATCCTCTGTCACTGTGATCCTGCTGGCAAGAAAGCCATGCTCTGGCATGGCTGGTGCGCAGATCCCACCAGACAGGAAAAGACCTCTATGGGGAATCAATCAGGAAGGTGAACACAGGGCCAGAATAAGGCAGAGGCAAGAATGGCTCCCTTCTCAGGTAGTGGCTTCTGATAAACCGAGCACAGCAGATCAGTTCTCAAAGTGACAGTGGAGCTCTGCTGATTACACTGGGAGAGCCACTCTCCCTGAATAATCTGTAGTTTTGCATCTTGTGTGCCAGAGTACCTAATTGGACAATACATTTTAAAGCATGGCTGAAACTTAACTTTTATTGCATATCCTTTTGTCAATCCTCATTATGTCTGTGAAATGTGAGCTGGATCTTGGGGAACACTTGATATCAGGCTACATTATTAATATGAAGCAGTAAAGAAGTCAACTCTACTATGCCAATGTGGCTGCAGTGGTTGAAGCAGACTTGCTTCACATACATACTAGCACACCCTGTTGAATATGTGACACCTAACAAAAATGTGCATTTTTTTAGAATCTTATATTTTAATAGTTTATTTTGCCTGCAAGCACAGCTTTGCCGGTTGCAGGAAAAGTATCCCTGCACCTAGATCTAGGTCAAGATCTAAGTGCCTGTTCATAAGAAGTATCAAACAGACTTCCGGTTCCGGCGCCTGATGCACTAGACGAGCGGCTCCGAGCTCCGTCCCGCCACAGACATCATACCGGAACCTCGTCCGCCGGTCACCAGCAGCTTGCCACCCGCTCCCCTGTCATGGACAGGTATCTGGAGCGCCAACTGAGAGCCCGCAGAGCCCTCCCAGGGAGTCAGATAGACGGAGGGGAAGGATCCAAGATGGCCGCTGATGAGCTGCAGCATGAGGAGGACACAGGTATGGGAGAGAGTGAATCAGACTCCCTGATACATGATACCCCCCACATTGATTATAAGCTGATCGCTGCAGAAGTGACCAAACGTCTTAAGGCTGATATGGCTAAAATTATTGCGGACACTTTACAGTTACACTTGGGCAAGCTAAATGCGACCATGGAGGTGCAAAATACATGCATCAATAGCATGGAACAACGCATTAGCAATGTGGAGGATGTCGCATCGTGCATATGGTGACATGACCAAACGCATACACACCTTGCAAGATAAAGTGGACAATTTGGAAAATCGCTCCAGACGCAATAATCTGCGGGTCATTGGCATCCCGGAATCTGTGAAACCTGTTGATCTGAGGGCGTTTTGCGCCGCCGCTATACCCAAAGCCTTGGGCCTGTCCGCTGCATGCAAGGTTGAGAGGGCACACAGGTTGGGATCCCCTAGAGATGACGCCAAACCGAGACCAGTACTAGTACGCTACCTGGATTACTACGATAAACAGAATATTTTCCACACCTACCGCACCCAGCGCAACCTCGTGGTAGATGGCCTAAAGCTGTTGCTATTCGCGGATTACTCGATGGAAACATCTAAATTGAGGAGATCATTCCATGAGGTATGCCAATCGCTGGTTAGACACCGCATAAAATTCGCTTTACAATATCCAGCGGTGCTCTGCTTCTCCACGGGGGATGGGAAAGCATGGCGCTTCACATCTGCAACACAAGCCCAAAGGTTCCTCGATTCCTGGGGGAATATCTCTTCCTCATCCCCGTTAAAAAGCCCTCCACGGAAAAAGAAGGCCTGAGAGCCCGAGAGGGGGTCAGGTTTGAATATACTTACGGAGGAGATTGGTGATGTTGCGGCGCAGGGGTTCCGGACCTGGATGCTGCTCTTCTGCAGGTACTTTACTGATACTTCGCTCTTTTGTTTTGATTTTTCTCTACTCCTTCGTTGTTCATCAAGTTTCACCAGGACTGATAGTTTTCGCCCTTTCTGGATGGCGGGATGGCGCGATATACCAGCTCATTGAATACTACTGCGCAGACGCAACCCTGTGAAGAACAGCCTCGCTCTCGCGTGTGGTCAGCCTCTTTCCGCTCGCATCAGGAAAAAAGGTAGTCATTTACAATGGACGGTTCTTTTTTTGTGTTCTTGTTGTTAGTACTTTGTCGCCAACACACTCCTGGAGTCAATCTCCTGCATCTTAATCTCCTGACCAATGGATCACCCCTTAATTCTTATGCACATCAAAGGGCACATCCACTTGTGCCACAGGGCCTCTTCGGGAGAGCTGGGACGCCCGTGAGAGCCCCTCCTTGTTGCCAACATCTGTCGCTAGTTATCGTTTACACCCCACTGTGGTTGTTATGGGACCCACACTGAACATTGTTTCCTGGAACGTTAAGGGGCTGAGATCTCCCAATAAACGACGCCTGATCTTACGTCATCTGCGAAAGTTGACATCGCCCTTCTTCAGGAAACTCACCTTAAAGAGCCAGATATTTTATGCATGCGACAATCCTGGGTGGGCATGGCCATTGGTGCTCCAGCCGCAGGGAAATCTGCTGGGGTAATTACCCTTATCAACAAGTCATTGGCGCATTCCATCACCTCCCACAGTTTTGACCAGGTCAACGGAAGATGGTCTATGCTCTCTCTACAAGTGGTACCCCACCCACTACACCTCTGGAATGTGTATGGCCCTAATGCGGACAATAAGTCCTTTTTGGATCACCTCCTCTTACAAAGTTCATCGCTCCTGCCCTCCCCATTTCTCCTTCTTGGCGGAGATTTCAATGCTACACCATCCACGCCCGAGGACCGATCGTGGGAAGTCCCACCTGGTACCTCGTACCGCAATCCCCAGGACTCTCGCTTGGCCACTTGGATTGACTCGATAGGCCTTACGGATACTTGGAGGCACCTCCACCCTCTGGAAAGAGATTTCACCCACTTTTCCCACGCCCACGGCTCGTTGTCACGTATAGACCTGTTCTTTGCATCCTCCTCCTTGCTGTCCAAACTGGAGTCTGTGACTATAGGGGATATGGTGATCTCAGATCACGCACCAGTGCTGCTTACTCTAAAAAATATTGGTATGCCTAGTCACCCCCTCATTTGGAGGTTCCCCAATTATTTGGCGAAAGATGAAGCGTTCCAGGCGGAGCTTCAACAATGGTGGAGTGACTACGCTGTTGATAATGCTGCTCATGTGTCTGACCCTGTATTGTTTTGGGAGACCGCAAAGGCGGTTTTGAGAGGACGTATACTGGCATATGCTACTGTGAAAAAAAGGCTGATCAGGAGAAGGTATGCTGAGGCGAGCACGGCTGCCAGGAGATCGTACCTTGACTACAAACATGATCCCTCCCCGACACATAGGGCATCTTGGTTGGCGGCCAAGCAGGCATGCGACCATTGGCTGCACCAACATGACCTAATACTTAGAAACCCGGCCGATCTGGCACTCTTCAAGTTTGGAAACAAGTCGGGCAAATTGTTAGCTAACCTGGCCCGTGGTGGGCGACCTAGCTCCCACATTCTGCAACTAAAAGACGAGAAGGGGGTGGTCCACTCTGACCCTTCCACGGTAGGTGATATTTTCAGTGACTTCTACAGGAAACTGTATGGGCCCGAGCAAGGTGACTTGCCCGCTGGTGCTCAATTTTTGGATTCTCTAAAACTACCTTCTTTGTCTGCTGAAGACCTCGAATGGTTAAATGGCGATATCACTATGCCAGAGATCCTGGAGGTCATTAAACACTCCCCCCTTTGCAAAGCTCCCAGCCCAGATGGTTATTCGGCGGAATGTTATCGCCTACTGGCTACTGCCAAAGCCCCTACGCTAGAAGCCCTGTACCAGGACATAATGTCCCGCAAGATATATCCTCCCACTTTTAATGACGCTTATATCCGCCTACTGCCCAAGAAGGGCAAAGACCCTATGCAGGCTGGATCATATCGACCCATCTCCCTTCTCAACCTAGATGCCAAAATGCTGTCCAAAATACTAGCTAATAGACTGGCAGCTGTGTTGCCAAAACTGATTTCTCCTGATCAGGTGGGGTTTGTTGCAGGCCGGTCGGCTGTGTCCAATATTCGCAAGATTCTCATGGTACTGGAAGACCACCGGCTGAACTTGCCTTCTTCGCATCCTATGGCTCTTCTATCATTGGATGCGGAGAAAGCTTTTGATAATGTTAATTGGCAGTGGTTGTCCATGGTTATGCAACGTATGGGATTCTCAGGTCCATTTTTGAGTTTTATTAATACTGTCTACACGTCCCCTCAAGCATGCATACTTACACAATCAGCTATGTCACGCCCATTCCCACTGCACAAGGGAACGAGGCAGGGATGCCCGTTGTCCCCTTTGCTCTTTAATATAGCTTTGGAACCGTTATCTAGATCCCTTTCATCCTCCCCGACATTCCGGGGGAGTCGCTTGGGGTCCCATGAGGTTAAACTGGCCCTATTTGCGGATGACATCATTCTGGTGTTGTCTGACCCCTCCACGCAGGTACCTGACGTGTTCAGACTCATAAGACACTATGGGTCGTTCTCGGGACTGACATACAGGACACTCTGAAAACATGTGGTGTGGCTGTTGCAAGATGCACAATAAGGAGGCACTTGAAGAAAGTTGGGCTGCATGGTCGAGTTGCCAGAAGAAAGCCATTACTATGCAAATTCCACAAAGTATCCCGCTTACAATACGCCAAACAGCACAGAGACAAGCCTTAAACCTCCTGGCACAAAGTCATGTGGAGTGATGAGACCAAAATTGAGCTTTTCGGCCACAACCATTAACGCTACATTTGGAGAGGAGTCAACAAGGCCTATGATGAAAAGTCCACCATTCCTACTGTGAAACACGAATGTGTGAGCTACAAAGGCACAGGAAAGTTGGTCAGAATTATTGGCACGATGAATGCAGTATGTTATCAAAAGATACTGGAGTACAATTTGCATGCATCAGCCCGGAAGCTGCACATGGGACGTACTTGGACATTCCAACATGACAATGATCCTAAACACAAGGCCATTCGACCTGTCATTGGCTACAGAAGAATAAAGTGACGGTTCTGGAGTGGCCATCTCAGTCTCCTGACCTCAATATCATTGAGCCACTCTGGGGAGATCTCAAACGTGCAGTTCATGCAAGACAGCCCAAGGATTTACAGGACCTGGAGGCTTTTTGCCAGGAAGAATTGGCAGCTTTACCATCTGAGAAGATAGAGCCTCATCCACACATACCACAAAAAAGACTTCAAGCTGTCATTGATGTTAAAGGGGGCAACACATCGTATTAAGAATTGGGGTATGTAAACTTTTGATCAGGTTCATTTGGGTAGTTTTCTGTTGCTAGCATGTCCGATCAAGTAAGTTACTAATACAGATAATAGTGCGATAAAAATATGTAGAACCAATACAAAAATTAAAAACAGTTACAATCAACAAATATTAATATAGGCGCCTATATATCAACATAGAGGTATATGGGCCAATCTAGGAAACAAGTGGAGATGGACCATCGATTCGGAAAGGAAAGATACAATAAGGCTGAATTATGAAATAAATAAGTCAATAATAAAATGACAATTGAAACTTAAGTACAGATAAAGTGTGTGTGAATAATCATTCGCAGAAGGAGTTAATACGTGATGAATATTATGGTGCACAACGAAACGAAGGTTAACAATATTTGAATAAAGTGTATTTTAAGATGTTCCAATGTTTTTTAATAATAGCTTCCAGATCATGGTGTTGTGCTGAGTAAACTGTTATAAAAGATATTGGGAACATATCAGTTTTCTTATTCTTATTTTCTTATCAATTATAGCATATTCTTTTGCTCATATAGCTACCTTTAGCGCTTTGTTTCTTTTGATCACAACTGTATGTAAACTGTGTATTTTATACCATGCATAGAGTTAAATTTGTTCTGTTTTGCCCTTTTGAAGTCTGTTCTTCTGGTGTAGTTTACATACTGTACAATGCCTGTTGCTCATTATACTTTTTTTCCCAGGGGTCTAGACTTTTCATCATACCATGTGGTATTATCTTTCTCTGTAACAAAGCTTTGAGATAGTTTTACACTTCCATTTTCTCTAGTAATTCCAGTTTAGGATTTCTACTTATGTTCCTTTTTTCCCAGACAGGAACCTTAACAGAGGATGGTCTGGATCTTTGGGGTGTAGTACCGTCTAATGGTTATCGGTATGTTGTGATGGAATTATACACATATACTTTCTCCAACCAGCAAGTGGAAAAGTGGTGCACTAGGCACATTTTATATATGTACCAGGCTAACCAGCCTGTAATTTTCAGGGCTGAATAGCTGAAGCAAACATTACACATATCTTCTTGCATTGTATCTCTTCATGTAACTCTTCAAGTTTCAGTTACGAAGACACAATCACAAAAGGAGGGAACCTACTGGTGAGCTTTCTTTTAAAACCAGAATGCTCTGCTAAATAAGTGTCATAGGTGACACTGGAACTAAATTAAATATGTTAGGCAAATATAAATATATTATTTTTAAAAGTTTTTTTTTTATTATTTTTTTTATAAATACATTTTATATTAATAACAAAAGGTAAAAAAAAACTATTTTAGAAATGTTTAAACTGAAAAAATACAACTGACTCAAGCTCACAATAATTTTCCTTTTAATTGCCATAGCCTTTGAGTTGTTCTTATGCAATGGAGAGAAAGTGTCATTTTGAAAGGACAAAAAAAGGCAGTTGTCACATTTGAATAGTTGACGTGCATTTGTACTTTTCCTATAATGACTATTTTCTCAACGTTAAGGAGGTTTTGGTCTTAACGTGGATAAAGGTTGTATTTCTTACTACATTTAGTACAGGTGCACAAATGTTTACCTTTCAGTCTAAAGGTGTCCATACACCTTAAGGTGCCCATACACTGCTCGATTCTCGTACGAGAATCGGGCGAAATCCCGCGATCGTACGAGAATCGAGCAGTGTGAACAAAGACGTGCGACCGTTTCTACTGTACGGTTGCATGTCTTTTGTCAAACCAACATGCTCGAAAACCCGCCGAGAATCGTACGATTGTCGGCGGGTTTCTAGCCTGCTCGT